CTTGAGTTCTCGACAATCCTCAGTATTGTGGCAGTGGTATTCACAATACTGTTCTGTCGACCTGTTTGGGTTGGGCGCTAAAGGTTTTGGGGTAGGTAACTCGTCCTTGTGGATCTAGAGGATTTTTCGGCGTAGCTTAGTCAAAGGCGGCAACTGCCTATCGAGTTTAGGCAACGTTGTCCTACTTTCCGTGTTAACCCTTGGTTTGTCTCTTGGCCCTACTATCGTGAAAGATTCTTGTGATCTCTTGAGCGTGTGTTCTCATTGAATATGGTTCTCGAGAATAGCCCACATCTCTTGGGAGTTTCTAGGGTTTAGTCGAGAGTTTTACTCTTAACATTAAGAATTTTCCAAATGGGTTGAGCCCTTGGATAAAATCATTCTGGACATCCCGTTCATCTATGTTGTCAACTTGTAAAGTTTCGCGGATGAAACGCCGATGGAAGTTTGAGAGACTTTCATGTTGACCCTGCTTGATCAAGGAAAGGTCAATGGACATTTTAGAGATTTGCTTACTCTGAAAGAACCGAGTTGCCAATTTGACTGACAAGTCCTCGAAACTGATTATACTTCCTTCTGGTAATTGTCCAAACCACCACTGTGCTTGCCCGGTTAGGTAGGTGGATAGAGCTTTAGCCATAAAATTCAGCGATGCCTTCCTGATCCTCACAACCTAGACATACCCCTACAGCCACTGAGAGACGTCTGTATCTCCCGATTATTTAGTGAAGTCCTTGGGGAAGTCGAAGTCCTGGGACTTCGGCTCGTCTCGAATGTCTGGTCTAAAGGGACTCCGATCTATGACCATTCCAATGATCTTCATCATCTCGTCTCAGATCAAAGCGTTCTGACCTCTTACTCCCTGCTGACCTCGAGGAAGGTAAGGTGGGATCTTTTCGTGGTTGTTATGTTGTTGCCGCCTGGGAGGTGAATACTGAAGATGACGGTGATGCTCTCGCCCATAATCCTCTTCGGTATCGCCGTCGTTTCGGTATTGTCTATGGAAAGGTACGTTTTCCTCCCTTCGAGAACTCTTTCGATGCCAGTTGGGCCCAATCGGTTGTGAACATTGGTCCTTCTTGGAGGTTTCCATTCTCCCTCTTCCATAACCTCGACGCTTAGGGATCCTTGTTGGTAGTGGTCTCGAGGATCCTTGCGTTTGTACACCGGATCAAACTCTTCAATGGCCTTATCAAAGGCTGGATATTTCTTCCTGAAAGCATTCCAGTAAACGGTGTCTCTGAGTGGCGGTTGAATGGTTATCCAAGAAGCCTTCGCGATCTGAATACTCTTGAGTTCAACCTCGATTTCGGCCAACTTTTGATCCTCCAAGCGTTTCCTAGATGCTATGGTATTTTGAGGAGGAGGCAAATCCTTTTTCTCGGTCGCGGAATTTGCTTTGTCCGGTTTCTTTGGATTAAGTTGTGAAGTTCTAAGGACCAGACGTTCTTTCCCTGGTTCTTTTTTGGGTCCTCTTTCATGGCCCTTTCCCGTCTTCTTTCTTTCCTGTTGTCGTTGAAATTCTGCCAGGGTAGTGTTATCGGCTGGAATGTGCCGTCTACCAAAAGATGCCGTGCGGCTCGCGTCCTCTTCAACCCTGACCATGGTGTGCATGGTTCCAGAAACCCTAAGTCGCACCGGAGAAGGTTAGGAAAACTGAAAAGGTTTTCGTGACACAAACCCTAGTTTTCGGGTCGTACTGGGCGTGCCACTTGACGAAACTTGGTTTTACACCGCCGGTTTGGTAGTGGAACTTTGGCTAGGGTTTCCTACAAAAGAAGGACTCGGGGGTCTCCCGATGGTAGACACTTTGATGCTTAACTCAGAAAAAGGTTTAAAGAATGTATGTGAGTAGTAGTTTGTGCTAGAGATAGTGTACTTCAATTGTGGTATAATCAACCCTATTTATAGGCATGAAGTTATCTGGGAGATAACCGAGTCCTATGACAAGCCGTCGTCACACTAGTCAAATATTAATTACCTACTTAATACAATTACTAGTAGTAAAGCAGAAAGCAGGGTCGATCCCACAGAGAAGGAATACTAATTACCATGTATAAATTACTCCTATTATTATCTAGATAAATGATGATCTCAGATTTATAAAATTTAAACCTAAAATAAATAAATAAAATAAAAGCAAATAATATTAATTCAAATAATCAGACAAAGAAAACCTAGGACATTGGGTTCACCTACCGAATATTTGGGTTAGGTCAATTCATAACTATCTGACTTTTAACTTCCATTAATCTCACACGATTCACCTAATTAAGAACTATACACTCTCGTGTTATAATTCTCTTACTTAGATTAACCCTATGACTACTCTCGTGACTATAGGGATTAACAAAAGCACATTAAGATCATTAAGAATCAAATATTGCAAAGGTTATAATCTTACTCTCGTAGCTTACAACCTAAGTTTATTATTCCTACGAACTAATACTAATCTTCCACTCTCGCTACTTCAATTAGTATCTTCAGACATGCAAATAATGGCCAATTACTTACACGAATTAAAACAAGAATAACAAATATTAATTAATAGAAAAATCAAATAATAGTGAACTAAATAAACCAAATAAATTCGGTAGCTATACCCAAGCCCTAGATTAAAAGAATTTATCCACTAAACATTATTAAAAATAATTCAATAATATTTAGAGACATAATAAAAGAAAAAAATAAATTAAATAATTTGAAACTTCAAAACCGAATGACGCCCAATAACTCCCCGACGGTGCACGCTTTGCTTTCTGCCGCTTCGGTGGTGCGGCGTGACCAGGAAGTTGATGGAGCCACTGCTGCTGTGTGTGCGAAGGCAAGGGAGCAGAAGTTGTTGATGAAGGTGGAGCAGCGGTGAGGTGAAGAAGGGCTGGTGTGCGCGAGGATGGTGGCTGCGTGAAGGATGGAGAAAGATGATGCTGCCGGCTGGTCTCGGTTTCGGTGGAGGAGCAGAGGTGGTTATGGATGTGGAGAAGAGGAAGAAGGTGGAGCTCCGGTGAAGGAGTTGGGAGTTTGGTGGTGCGTGGTGGTTATGGAAGCAAAGCGGCGGTGATGGTGTTTTAACCGTAGGGTTTCGGTCAGTTTTCGGTTCAGTTCTCTTGTAAAAATAAATCCCTAATCCTCCTTTTATAGGCTTCCGGCTAAACCCTACTCCTTGAAGAACAAGAAAACTTGTTTTCCAATTAATATCGGGATTAAAATTCTTATCCAATTCCAATCCGAAATCAGCCGTATCATCAACGTAACCTTCGGCCAATTTTCCAAAAATTAGAATCAAATTGCAAAATTGCATGATTGGCCCTCCAATTCTCTAAACTCATTAATTTCTTCCCCATCAATTGCTCCAATGTTCAATTCATTCCCATTGAGTTACTTTTAATTCGATTTTAGCTCAAAACTTCAACAATTCTTCATTTGAGTACAATTCCTACAATTAAAGATAAAATCACATAAATAGCATATTTGTACTCAAAATATATTGCAAAAATCACAAATTAGGGATATAATAAATAGGTAAAATATAAGCATATCATCCTATTAGGTTTCGTGTTGTTCAAACCGCCTTAACAGTCAGTTAGGCTCGTCACTCGGTTGATGGGCCGGTCCAATATTGGTGATGAATATGGACTCGTCGTACACCACAACATGAATCACTTCCTTGCCGCTACCAATTCCTAATCCGTGAAAGTGAACTCCAACCTCAAATAGATCGCCACAACATTCTATCCGATTAGTTCTTTTTCTATAACTCGGCCCTGGACAAGTACGTGAAAATGCAACTAGGACATCTGAAAGGCCTGATGACTAATCGTCTCGGTTTCACAATCTCGCCATTTTACCTCCCGTGGAGGCATATATTCTATCACCACACAACACCGGATCAAAAAATAGATTCGGATCATTGTCGCGGTCATCGAGCATCCTTAATTCCTCTTCGTAAACTCTGTACGTCCAAGTTCAATCTAGGTGGATAAAACAAAACATAATGCATTGAGACCCGTTGTCGGGGAAGGAATACTAAAAGAACGCTGTCAGGATTGGTGGGTGGCTTGGTCAAGATTATGTAATGTATCTTAGTATTTTCGGATGACAAATTTACAGCAGGAAAGCGAATGGATTCGAAAGTCAGGGGATTCCATAGTTGCAATTCCACAGTTGAAGGTGATTCTTCTGGGCACCGATAGAATATTAACCAGCCGTGAGCTGATCCGACTGGGTCGTTCTTGAACTTGTGTGAAAACAGAGCATTAAATTTGACTAAATGATTGGCCATGGCCGTTTCAAGTTTAAGTCTTTGTGGATTTGACTGAATTAAATTTCTGTGATCATTCATCATCACAAGATTGCTGTGATAATTATTATAATTTCAATACATATATTTGATTCATCTGTTGCTTCTTCACTTATTAGCCGGCAAGAGTGGTAGGATTGAGTACAAAAGATTTGGTGGGATTTTAGTTGCAAATGGTTGCAGTAGATATCATTAAACGAAGGGGGAAATGATATTCTGAATTTGTTCTTATTTGTTACCCAGAAGATATTTGTTCTTATTGCTGCTTTATCAGTTCAGTTGCGCAACTTTTTTGGTTTCATTTTATGCACTTTTTACTTTTCTTATGAAGTTAAAGTGGTAAGATGATTTGGTTCCCTTAAGTTAGGTCTCGGGTTCAAATCTTATGAATGAAAATAGCAATGTTGGAGAACTTTCCCTCCAAAAGGAGACCGACATGGCTCAGTGCGGATTAGTTTGAATGTAATGTACTTAGGCACCTTGCGCAGTATGAAAAAAAAGAAAGTTTAACCATAAGAGGGGCCTTTATCTCTCAATTGTCATTCTCCTAACAGAACATATGAACAATAATATTGGCCTAACTTCTCATTTTGAGACGTATAATTGACAATATCAACTCCTTAAAGCGGTGTCAAACCATTTCCTTAAACCATTTTACTTCAGGAACTCATCATAGTGCTACTGTATAAGAGAATCCAGTTTATGTTCCAAATGGAGCTCTGAGGCAAAGAAGCCAAGACCCAGATGCTGCTACCTGAGAAGATAGCAGAATAAAATGTAGAGGGCTCAGAAGGTTCAGAAGAAAATGAAGAGGGGGTAGAGGTATATTCAAGTCTGATTATTTATCTTCCTTCAAGTCAAGAAGAAATCAGGGCTGAGGACGAAACTCTGTAATCTGCTGCCAATCACCAGAATGATGGTGGGTTTCTTAGAGAACACAGGTGTTCAAAATCCGGAAGGACTTTAGAAATTGGTGTTCAAAGATATAATTAGATAAAGAAAAACTCCTTTGCAAGAAAATACGATATGAAACAGCAAAGTAACCAAAACCAACGTATGTACAAAGATCCTGACAACTCTTTTTAGCTAATAAAGCGCCTTCTGACAACAAAAAAAAGATTATTTAAAACTCAGAAAACGTCTAACTGCAATCCTGAACTAGTTAGGTATTGTACTCCCAACCCGAAAATGGTTACGGGTTACTCTCCTTGCTTAGCCACTCCCTTTTTATGCATTTAGAGCATAACCTCTCTATTGAAAATCCAGCTAAATGGAACAGATGATGCCTGCTTGGCCTTAGCTGCAGTTGTCTCCTCCAACTTTCTGAACCTTGCAGGAAATCCACAAACATAGTCTAGTGCTTTACGCCCCTAAAAAAATCAGGTTATAACAAGCCCTGTGGATAAACATAACAAGCCCTGTGGATCCTGAAATTAAAAAAAAAAAAATCAGGTTATAACGAGCCCTGTGGATAAAAGCAAAGGAAGTTCAAGAAAGCAGGAAAACCAATGTGAACCAATGATTCCAGGGAGGCTTCTCAAGCCAACCAGAAGAAATGACACACGTAGCGAGGATTCTAGAAAATACAAACAAAAACACAACAGTACGACAGGACTACACATACGGAAATGCAAACTGAACTCGAAACAAAAACCCAAATTCCCGAGCAGAATTTTACTACCATTAAAAAAATGCAGGAATGGGAAGGTCAACTCTGGAATGAGGCAGGATATATGAAAATAATGATGAAGAGTGAAAAAAATAATTAAAATTAGTTAAGAAAATACAAGTCAATGGACTACTCTAAGTCACGTTAACTAAATAATAAAGTTATGATGATGAAGATTCATAGTGAGAAACTACTATCCAGTTAATTGCATGAAAGACATACACCACTTTGAGTCTTTGAGTCATTTCAGATGCCAAATTTCCATCTGCTACAACTTCTGGAGAAGAAGAATAGTGGAGTAGGATATGAAAACTTATAAGGGATGTTTCAAACAAGATAACTGTCCCTTAGGTCTCTATGGCAATGCAAGAAGAAACCAAAAAGGACAAGAGAGAAAATCTCATATGTCTGGAGTCATAGGATCAAATATGCACATCGAAAGCTACAAGGAAAAGGAAGCATCTCACCATTCCAGAGCGAATCAGGCACTGAGTTGTTTTCTCAATTTGTTTCATGTCCACTTTTCCAGAAAGATAAAGGTACTTGTTGAGAAGATCACCATGCCTATTCTCTTCAGTAGTCCATGCCCTGGTCCAGATGGCCAAGGAAGTGAGGCTAGCACTGTCTCATCTCGCACTCCATCAAGAGTGTTAATCATGGTCTGGTAAGTTGGAAGAGCTTCTTCGGTGATCATATCTCCAACTAACACGACAAAATAGTCATCGGGAATTTCCTTGCATCTTTCCCTGAGATCCTTGACCTGTTCCTCAAATCCATCAGATGCAGGGTCTGGCAGGAAATCGCTAGGCTGCCATGACTTCTCAACATCTTTTAGGTGCACCAGAATATTACTTTTGGCCCAACCATTTAGAGAATCAAATATCTCGCGCTTTTCTGGCGGCATTGAATGAGTCACTTGTAAATGTTCCTCCTTAGGTGGAGTAAAGGGCTTCTTTGCATTTCCAACCTCCCTGTATGATCAGATTGTGTTAGGCATAAAAGCATAATTGCAGGTAGAATCAACAATGCAAAAAACAGCTGCTGAATGTGAACTGGGAAAACTCTTTTGAGCCTTAAAAGATCAGATATCTCAGCAAATAACTACATCAAAGATCACTACTTTGCTGATAATGCAAGGGGAAACTCAATAGGACACAAACTATTGAAAGGTTTTTGTCTGGGCAACAAAAATCTAGTTGAGCGTCAACTGAATGGCAAAACCTTTTCAAAACAACCTGAGCCGAATTTCGACACAACTAAAACCAGTACAAAAACTGAAATGAAGTCAGGAAGCTGGATAACAAAATAGGGTGAAAAGAAACAAACAAGTGAAATCATGGTACCAGAAAAATGCAGTATATGAATAAGACACCAAACACTACAACCTCACAAATGCAAAACATTTAGAGGCCCTGATATATTAAATGTAAAAGCACTTCAGTATGAATAAAGAATCAAGAAACGTGGAGTGCTAAAAGCTATATTTTTAATTCACTATAAATCCTGCACCAAAAATTCACTCAACATCCACACGGGGTGAAAATCAAACTCCGAGGCATCTTCCTTAAGGAATCTATCCAAACAACACATGCAGATGACAAAGATATAATGTTGATAACAAATCTTCAAATGGAAAAAGGTAAATCAATTAACTAAGATAGAAAGGGCAAACAAAAACATTATCACGTCAATGAGCACAGATTGACATGCATGCAACCACTGAAATTGAATCCAGATATAATGGGAGACCAGAAGATCAATCAAGCATCTCAAGAAACAGGGAGATTATTGGTTTGAAACTGAAAACAATCTCAATGAACTGCAGAGAAGGAAAATTGAGGTTAAAAGAAACAAACACCATCGAGATAGAGATAGCTGAAATCAATCCAAACCCGAATCAATCAAGAAAAAGAAAAATAAATTATTGCTGATCATCAAACAAAATGACTAGTGTCAGCAGATACAGAGACAATCCAATTCAATAGATGAGGTCAAGGTAAAAACTAAAAAGCATCTGGGAACTCACAATGAGTGGGAAATGAAGAGTAGAAGCCATGAAGAGTCTGAGATCCACGGTGCTGAGACCCATTGGGAAATGCAGAAAGTTTGGCGGCTGGGAAGCTCAAAACATTTAGTTTCAAAGCCATTTTTCAGAGCTTTCAACAATTCCTATGAACTGAGCTCTCGGCATCAATTCATTCTGGTCCCTCATCTTTTTTCTTCACCAAGAATTTCTCAATTGCAATTCCAAGAACCCATAAAAATATCACTTCTTCTTCTTCTTTTTTCCCCTTATGCGACGGTTCATGATCGCCGTTTGAAATTTGTGGGATCCTCTACGTGTTTTGCTACTGATGAAGAACGGGGATGGCATGGACAATTCAACTTTCTTTGAAATTAGTTGTAGAGTTAAGTTCAATACCATAGTTTTTACCCTAAAGCTCAACCAAAGGTAAGTGCTGTTAGTTCTTTTTGGTTGTGGGTTAAAGCTTGGTTTCTTTCACCTTGTGGGTTAGCTGAGCTGATTCAATTCACTAAGATTTGAGTTGGATTGTATAGTGGACATTCAAAGAAAAGAAAAAATTGTGTCAAAGCTGTTTGATATAGTGGCTCTTTTTAGCTGTTTGTCTCCATTTATTGACTGCCTGCCTCGATGTCCATCTGAGCCCAGAAGTACCAAACTGAAATCTGTGATACGTGACGAAGCTTGGAATTGTGACTCCGGTTAAACAGTGGAACTCCGATTAGAGTTTCTTGCAAAAGAGGATCTCGGGGGTCTCCCGAGAGTAGATACTCCGACGCTTAAGTCAGAAAATAGGGTTATGAAAAAAGTGTATATATACTAATTGGTGCTAGAGATAGCGTACCTCAATTGTGGAGTAGTCATCCCTATTTATAGGCATGGAATAACCTAGAGATGTCCGAATTCTACTAGATTTAGTGTTACTTCATCGCCTTAATAGAGTCGGTTGAACTCCTTACTCGGCGGATGGGCCGGTCCAATATGGGTGGTGAATATGGACTCATCAAGTATTCCTGTCAAGTGTTAGTTATGTGAAATAAATAAAACTTGACACAAAATAATTCTAACCTGGACTCGACCCAATTTGAATGGACAAGTCTTGGCCATGTTGTATCGAGTAGGCCTGATAGAGTGATTGGCGGGTCATGATCCGACCCAGGAAGGCGACGCGACATGAAATCCCACCTAAATTGCAGTAGACGTGCCCCATTATTCGGCACGTTTTTCAAACGACGGCATTAACCATCATTACTGCCTTAAAACTAGCTGAAACGGCAGAATAGTGGGGTGCTATTACTCCTTTTTTATACTAAAAGAAGGAGGGTGGAAAGTAACACTCTTCATTTCCATATTTAAAAACTTCAAAAAGGCTTTTACACTGCCCGGTGTCTGTACTAATTCCGGCATCGTTCGAAGAAGTGGTGAGGTTTTATCGTTGAACCACTTCCCAAAGAAATATTTAATAACCTACTTAAAGCTAGTAGCTAGTGGTAAGTAGGGTCGTTCCACAGAGACGACTGTCAACCGTTCAAAACCTGATTAAAGTGCGGAGAAGAAAGAAAATGAGTTGAACAGATTATCACTTCGGAGAGTGATAATAGTCACTTGACAGATTGAAAAGGCAGAAGGGTCAATCACCTTCCTACCTTTATGATCCAGTTTTGATTCAATATTCATGAAGTGTATGATTAGTTGTTCGATCAGACACTTACATATCTTTATAATTCCTTCCAGACAGAATAAAGAGTCCTAGATTATTTAAATCACCTACCTCCCAGTCAGAGTAATTCATTAATCTAAACCATTGAGTTCTTAAGCCCTTTATGATCACCTATGCCATTCACCTAACTTCCGTTAATGTCTGGAACCGCAGGGTAGATTTCCTCCATTATCATAGACTAGATTAAGCAGTTATAAGGTTATGCTCCCCCTTCCAGATCTTCATAACCATGCAAGCACATTTAATTAAGTGGCCAAGTTAATTAAAAGGTTAATTAAATCAATTATCTAGGCACAACACCTCATCAAGGAAACTGAATCAAAACCTTCACATAAAGATAGTAGGGATTGAACCTTTAACTGAGTTAGCTACTCATGTTTATTGAGTTAAACATGAGAGCAGCAGAGTACAAAAGATAAGACATGAATCTAGATCAAATGGTTAGAGGAAAGAAAGGGAAGATGGTAGCAGGGACAGTTTCTCTCTGCTCACTATGGCGAGTGGCGTTCGCCACTTGACAAAGTGACAGTCTGCCTCCTTGTTCCTGCTACTACCCTGTTTCTAACCTACTAATTAACTACCTAACTACTGTCTTTGTAACTAAATCTAACTACCCAATCTGTTGTTTTTTCTACTGCTATTGGCTGACTATTTATTGAGATTTGGAGAGGCTTGGATTGGTGGAGTTCCTTCCTTCTTTGCAATAAGGTAGAGGAGACAGCAAGTTGCAGCAGCCAAAGGCAATTGTTTATTCAGCAACTTGCCCAATTGGCAAGTTACTGCCTTCTCTGTTAGCTCCTTCCTTTTTCAGCCGCAATCATCCATTTTCTACTCATCATTGCTGCTTCTACGCTCATCCGCAATCTCTGTTCCAGTTTCAACCCTTGAATTCATAGCGTAGATCTGGATTTTATAAGTAGACAATTATGGCTAGAAACCCAGATTAGAAATCTGTTGATGATTTTGCTTCCACCATAGATTTCGATGAGAAGGTAAAATCTGTGAAGACTAAGTATGACTTGCCCCTAAACCTAGAAGCTAGAGCACCTTTAGGAACCGAGAGAGCCAATACTCCTGCAGAAGGGAAAATCACCATATATGACCGTTTAATGCATCTAGGGTTGAGATTTCCCTTTTTTCCATTTTTCGAGGAGATTGTGCAACACTATAAAATTCCCTTGGCACGATTCACCCCGAATTTGATCACCTACGTTCTTGGGTTTGCGAGAATATGTCAATGGGTGAAAGTGAAACCGTGTCTGTTTCTGTGGAGATATTTCTTTAAAGTATCCATGTCCTCAACATTGTTCCAAGATTGGTATATCGTGAAGAAGAACCCCAATTCGGGCACCAAGAAGATAGTAGAGGCGTACGGTGGTTCTCCCATATGGAAACCAAACTTTTGTATATAAAGGCGCCTGAAAAGTATTTTGTTTCCTGGAATCATCAAGATACCAATGGATTCGAGGCGATAAAGGATGATTGAACAGATGAAGATAAAGAAAAGGTCAAGGATTTCATCGAGGACTTAAAGAAATTCGAGAAGTACTGCAAAATAGTTAAATGGGACGTTGTGCAGCATTTTGTTCCTGTTTTTCCCATCGAGGAGAAGGAAGTTAATAAGACTCTTGATACCCCACTCGAGGAGAAAAAAGGTACTAATCTCCTTATTATCTCTTTATTTTTAGGTCATGTCGCCGAGAAATGCTGGTTCTGGACTATATGGTGACTCCGACCCCTTTAGTGTTGTAAACTCAGATAAAGAGATGTCCACGACGAAAGCAGTGGGTGTTCGGAAGAAGAAGAAGAAGAGAGTTTTCTGAAAGATTTAGAGAAGGAACCCAAAAAGAGATCAAAGACTGACATCCCTGTAACCGAGTCAGCAATGCAAGGGGAGAAGATTGTTCCCCCGGTGATCGAGAAGGTCAACGTGGCAGAGGAGTCTGGGCCAAGCAATAAACCATCCGCCATGGATAAAGGCAAAGGTCCGCTTGAAGGGGAGGCGACCATTCTGCCTTCCCATCAGTTTGGGGGGGACCGATCATGGCTGTTCAGACATTTGGAGAACTACCAACAATCGACTGTCCCTTGTTGGAAGAATTCGTTGCACAACTGACAGAGACCAACAACGTGAGGTTGGTAAGTGTGCTTGTGTTAACCA